CAGAGAAACAGGACAATGAATGCACCTCTTACACCTCCTACTTGTGAGGTCCCTGTAATCTTACACAGTTGTAACTCAAGTCCGCTGAGTCTGTACGAGAAACAGCCCATGTGAAGCGGTGGATACGCTGATTACCCTGCTTTGGGGATTACACGGTGAATACAGTATCAAAATATCACACCGTACCCCATGACTATGTACTGGTCTGTCAATTAAAATTATTGAAATTTAAGGGACAGACAATGAAGGTGTTAAATATCCATTTCTTTTATAGACATAGAATTGTGCTATAAATATAAGTGACTAGTATGTATTTTTGTAAGGGAAGAGGGTGTTTGGATATTGTTTACATGTCTCCACTGGATCGTCACCAGGACGCTGACTCTGTCTGGAATTTTCCTTCCTCCCTGGATCTTACTGCAGTAAGTTTGAACCCCGGGACAGAACCCACCCTGTGGTTTATCCTCTCCACAGAGATTTTTTTGAACACTGCAGCCAGGCATCTAGCTTTCATGCAAGGAGGACGCCAAAGGCTTCCTTCGCCTTTCTTTTGCTCAGCTGCTCTGTCTCACTCATGAAACATCCTTATTTTAAACTCATCATTTACCTTCCCATTTGAATTTTCCTTCTAAAATAAATGACAATTTTAAAGAAGAACATTTGGTGATAGCTATAGTTCAGTCCTCTGCTGACCTAGATCTGCAGCTGAAAACAGTTGGAGAGACAAGGACTGCGCCGAGGATGTGCAGATCCAGGTAAAAACACTCTGCCCAACGGTGCAGGGAGGGTACCATGAAAGGGGGTCATTCCCACCAGAATGTCCAAAGTACCCTTGCCCTTGGGGGAGGGCACCTCCCCTAGAAGCTCTTGTCATCAGCCCTGCAAGCTGGAGGCATCTGCCTGTCAAGTTTCTTTGTGCTTTGCTGTGAATCAATGAATTAGGGAATGAATGAAGGACTGAATTAGGGATGAATGAAGGACTGACTTAGGGAATGAAGGAGTGAATGAGTGAGCGAACGAATGAATGCCACAGAGGCTCACATGCACTTCTCGGGCCGGGACGTGCTCTCACAGCCCCATTCAGCACTACAAATCTACTATGCATTATTATACACCCAACTACACCAGGTACTACAGATGCAAAGATGGGCTGGTACGGTGGCTCAGGAGGACAAACACCCCTGTGAATAGACACACTGAATATGTCCAGGAAGGCCTGACAGCAAAGGAAGGCCAGCATTCCACAGGCACAAAGAGAGGGGCAGCTGGCCTTCCAGAGCCCAGTGGGACAAGG